CATGGCAAATTACTCAAAAGCCCATCCACCCCACCCAGAGCTATTTCACCCTCACCCAGCTTCTCAACAGCCCCCAGTTCCATAAAGATGAAAGCAGGCTGCAAAGAATCTCCTCCCTCCCAATGTTTTGTTCTTTCCCCAAATGTCACCCTGCCACTTAACTTTACTATTCAAATAAATTTCTAAGGCAACGTATATTCTAAATAAGTACACTAGCACTTTTCCCCTTCTAAATTCTGGCACTCAATTTCCACTACCAGGCATGAAAAAAAAAGGATGGAGAACGTTGTTACACCTACCTCTCATCTAACCAAAGACAAACACCTATAAAAACCAATTACAACTCACATAAAATGCTTATAAACTAGTCGCACCATAGCTGTTTTCCTGTTTTATACATTGCATATGTATAAAGTTTAGATTAGATTAGGTATTTATAGCAGACAAAGTTCAGGCCCTCCAAGTTCTTTGTACCCATCATCCCCTAGAAACAAATAGGTGTCCTATTATGATCATAATTATAATTATTTTTTCCTTAAGAGAATAGCATAGAAGGGAAAAATTGATTTCTACTATCTCCAGCCCAAAAGCAATGTCTTTGACTCTAGCTAGTGTACACAGCCCACTGCCTAGTGAAAAGGGCTAATGTTTCAAGGAGGATCCCCAGAGTTCCATGAGATTACCATATAACAGCTAATTCTTACCAGGCCCACCAGGTCCTGCTTTGAACACATACACGTATGAGCTCCCAGCCATCCCCTAGGTAAGTACTATACAATCACCATTTCCACATGAGCACCGTGGCACAGGACACTTGTGATTTGCCCACAGTCATTCAGTTAGCAGGGGGTGGGACCAGAATTAAAGGGAGGCAGCACAAATGACAGTGCTCCAAACACACACAGTAGAGTCACAATTTCTTAAAACTGAGAGGTTTCTGACAAACTGCAAAAACGGGAGTTCTACTGTCATAAAACAGGAGAAATATTTTTCCCTCTTCTACTTTTTTTTTTTTCCTTTGTGTCGAGGACTGAACTCACAACCTTGTGTTTCCAAGCAGGCACTTATGCTGCTGAGCTAAACCGCCACCCCCAACTCCTACTTTTAAATATTCCCACCTTGCCTTTTTTTTTAACCTTGCCTTTCTTTAGAAGAGCTCAAAGTCTTTATCTCATTACTATTGAATCCGATGACCCAATAATAATAATAAAACAAATCTTTAACAATTTAAAATACATAAGTGGTATCATCCCCTGAATTGATGTGAAAAGAAGGCCAAAGACTTAGCAGAACTGAATCAAAGAAACTTACTCCCAATTCAGTTTTCTTTCTGTGAGGCCACTCTCTAAAAGACCATTTTAGAATTCCATCCCTTTTTAAAATTCTAAAATATCATATGCATATAATTAACACATTGAGATTCCATATCACTCCAGAAAAAACGGCTATCATCAAAAAATAATCCAATAACAAATGCTGGCAGGGCTATGGAGAAAAAGGAACCCTACTCCACTGTTGGTGGGAGTGTAGACTGGTGTAACCTCTGTGGAAATCGGTGTGCAGATGCCTCAAAAAACTAGGATTAGAGGTCCCATTTGAACTAGCTAATCCCCTTCTGAGTATTTTTCCAGAACTGGAAACATACTACACCACAGCAACATATGTGTACCAGAGTTTATAGCAGCACATTCTTGGAATGAACCCAAATGCCCATCAACTGAGGAATGGATAAAATACACGTGGTATTTTTATACAATGGAGTACCACTCAACTATAAAGAAAGATAAACTCAAGGCTTTAATAGGCAAATGTGTGCAACTAGAGACCATACCAGTAAGTGAAATCAGACTGGCATGTGTAAACATTGTGTTGTCTCCGTAGTGTAAGAAACTGAAAGAGTAAATACAATTCAAAAGGTAAATAGCTATTGTGAAAGGGAAAGAAGTACTCAAAATGAAAGAACAATTGGAAAGGGGAAAAGGAGAAAAGAAAAAAGGAGGAAATAAATAAATATATACATATGTGTATATATATGGTAGCTAAGAACACTGTACTCTTCATTCTACTAGTTCATTGAAAGGAACAGTTAGTGCTTATAGTGTTTAATCAATTTTGCATACCAATCTCTGGTAATCTGAGCAACCGTTTCAAGGGCAACAATATGTACTATAATAACCATTGTTAATTTCCCATCATCTTATCTTGAAATTCTGTATCATTTTATTGGGTTATTTTATTCTCCTTAAAATTAAAAATATATATATATCATATTTTCTACATTGCACTGAGTGAATATAAAACTATCAAGATTAAGAAGGAAGTATTATTTTGGGTTTCTTCCTAGTACTTTGTCGTTGAAAGTGAAACAAAAATTTTTGGTATTATAGGGCATTATGAATGTTAATACAAAGAAGCAAGGTATAGTGGTGTATCCCAGCACTTGGGAGGCCAAGGCAGGAGGACTGGGCTAGCTGGGAGTCCAACCTGGGCTACACACTGAGTTCAACACCAGCCTAAATTACATAATAAGACTCCATCTCAAAAAAACAAAGAGACACAAAAATTGTCTTACTGTTGGGGCTGGGGATTTAGCTCAGCGGCATAAGCAGGCAGTTGTGAGTTCGATCCCCAGTACCGATAAAAAGCAAAAAGACAAAAAAAAAAAAAAAAAAAGAAAAAAATTGTCTTACAGTTGCTGCCACCCTTATAGTCCAATAATTGCATATAGTTAGCCAATAATCTGCAATTGCTCAAATATCATACTATACCAAATCTAGAAGTACAGTTCTATTCTTCAATGATTAAAACTTTCTCAAGGTTTGTTAGGTTAGGAATTCAGTGTTGGCCAGCGGTTTAGCTCAGCGGTGTAAGTGCCTGCTTGGCAAACTCAAGGTCGTGAGTTCTATCCCTGGCACAAAAAGAAAAAAAAAAAAAAAAAAAGAATTAAGTGTTTCTTTCCTTAACAGTCCAAGTTTCTATTAATGAGAAACCAAGGTTTCAAAAGAAATGAGACAGTCTTTGAATGACTTTGACCGTGTTACAAAGATGGCCTGTAAAAGTAGAAAACAGGAGCTAATTGTCTTTTGAGGAGTAGTTTCTACTAAGGTGATTACCTTAATAGCTGGGGAGATGGCATCCCTAAAATATACATTCTGATTTTCCCTAGTGCATGTTTGCCCCACAAAAACAAAACCCTTCACTGACAGGGAGGGAAGTGCTTTACTGAACAAATCAAATTGCTTCCATCCCATCATCTGTACCATGCTGCGTTTTTACCTGGGATAGACAGCGTTCTGAGAGTTACATACACAAAGATGAGTTCATAATGCAGTCAACCAGAAAAGCCAATGAGGCAAAATACAAAGGTGCACTTGTATTTCTCAAGTTGGCTTTTAAAGAATAAAGATGAGAGTCAAGCAAGATGTCTCAGAAACTGCCACCTTTCTAAGATGAATGTATTCTCCAGTTTCTCTTTGTAGGGCAAATTCTAAAATAGTTGCTTAAAATGAGGCACCAAAACAAGGCTTTTTAAGATAAGCTTTGAGAAAAACTTCAGATCAGAAAAAGTTGCTAGAAAGTGCTGCTTAGGGAGAGGCTGCAAGCACACACTCTGGGGATCCTCCCTGAAAACCTTAGCTCTTCTCACCAGCTGTTTTCAGGCAGCCTAAGATGTCAGTTCCCTCCGCAAATCCATTTCTAGAACAGCAGATCTCTGGACAGACCATTTCAAAACCATAGCTTCAGAAAAGCTAGTTAACACTCTAATCCCCTGAGGTAAAATAGGTGTTTTTTTCATTGATACTTAGGCCAGCTAACTGGAATGGTACCGTGTAGGATCCTATCGGAATCATACAAGCTCATTTTTATCACCACTATTGAATCTCAAGCTTAAGATATTAAATCTCCAACTTTGGGAATACGAGGCCCACACACAAACTTGGAACAACCCTTTCAATTTGCACCGTCAGTGCCCAAACTGACATTTCTGAAAGTGTGTTTCAGACTGCATCGGAATCTCATATTAGATTCTCATATTAGATTCTCAGACCCACCAACGTCCTCAAACAGAATCTGCATGAGAGCAGGGACGAGGCATTTTTAATCAGCTGCTGGAGCAATTTTAAAGGATCACTAAATTAAACCCATGGACATCTTTGCTATATTGTCCCTTTTCCCTTCCAACCTGCATACATGCACTGTCCTCTTAGGTGCACAAGACACTATTATTATTTGGCATACAGTAGTAACTGCATTCTCCAGTGCTCCACGGATAGCAGCTAAAAAGGGAACATGAAGTTAGATATTGAAGATCGTGCACGATTTTAGGTAGTTTGGGGCCTCTGGCACATCCGAGAAAGGATTTTGTCAAGGAGGACCAGAGCAGCTAGATCTTCAAGTGCTCAGGACAGAAAGGATCTCTTCCCTCTTTAACTTCTTCACCATAGACAGCATCTCCCAGCAACACCCTGCCACCCATTAGATACATTTCCTTCGCTGCTCACAACCCTATTTAAGACAGGCACATTCCTGCTTCACAGAACTGCCTCACAATTGGTGTACAAGCCTTTTACACAGTTAAACACACACGTACACGTCCCACTGCAGTGCCAGGTCAATCAAGACACCCTGCCGATTGCCCCTCCATTCCTCCACCTAGGCTTTATCCACAACTGCCCTGCTCCACCTAAACTCAGCAACTTTCCCACTCGGCGGACTAACCCCCGCCCTCCCGACACCGGCCCTCCCCGGTCCTGCCCGCGCCCGGCCCGGTACGCTGATCCTGGCTCCAGCACTGGGCCCCTCGGCCCGACTCCGGACTCCCGGCTGAGGCTGCGGCGCCCCCGCCTCGAGGCACGCTTTCCCGCTTCCGCGGCACCTCAGACTCGCCGGACCACGCGGCCCGATGGCCCCTTTCCGTGTCTTCCCGGGGTTGTTTTGCAGGAGCAGGGGTGCGGTCCGCCCTCTCATTTCCCTCTGTCTCTCGGGCTTGTCATTCTTACCCGCCGGCAGGCCGATTTCAGCGACATCGCTCACAGGGCCGGGCTCGGCCCCGCCGCAGCCCGCAGGGAATGAGGGACAGCAACGGTTGTGGGAGCACTTAATGTCGCGGAAGAACTTCTGGGTTTCGCGCAGGTTCTGCCTCAGCCGGCCCAGGTAGCGGCGGTAGCGTGCGAAACCCCGGCACAGCTCGCGGATCATTCCGCCGCCGCCGCCGGGTCCGGGACCCGAGACGGGCTCGCTGCCCCACGGCGGCGTGTCGTCCTCCATCTCCGCAGCCCGCTGTCTACGCTGCCTGGTCCTGGCCGCTGGCCCGGCCCCCTCTTCCCCGCCCCCCAGTGCAAAAGGAAGGTGGATTCCGCCTCCTCACGCCCCCGCCTGCAGGCCGCGGGGCTTCCAGTCTCCGTCACTGCCCTTGCAAACAAACTGACGCGCAGGGCGCCGCACACGGAACCTTTCCCTCCGTTCTGCTACAGAGAGAGGGAAGAATCACGGAAGGCACCGGGCCCGCGCGGGCTGTTGGTACTTGTAGTTTACGCTAGGGCCTGAGCCAGAGCCGCGAGGCTCAGAGCTTGTGGGTGCGACTGAATACCTTAACCTGATCTTGCGCGTACCCCTTCTCCTCTTCTAGAAAGTGTGTTCCTAAACCGGGCGTTGTGGTACACTCCTGTAAATCCAGCACTCTCGCGAGCTGAGGAAGGAGAGTCAAGTTCAATTCCCTTCTCTCAGAATTTAAAAGTTAAAAGGGTAGGGGCTGGGGATTTAGCTCAGCGGCATAAGCGCCTGCCTTGCAAGCAGGCAGTTGTGAGTTAGATCACCGGTCTAACTCACAAAAAGGAAAAAGACCAAAAAAAAAAAAAAAAAAAAAAAAAAGGTTAAAAGGGTTAAGGATGTAGCTCAGTCTGCAGTACCACACACGATAAGGAAAATTAAAATGTGTTCCTGCTCCCTACACTAATGCCCCTGAGGAGAGGAACCCAGACCCTAGCAGAAATGAGGTGCTTTATTGAAATCAGAGCGAACGATTTTAATAGCAAAGAAAGGGAAGGAAGCAAGAGGAGGGCGGTAAGATCTCCATGGTTACCCTAAATTGCTCTCTCGGTGTGCAGACCCGGTGGATACTGGAGAATTGGCTGAAAATATCTTTGAGATCCTGAAATCGCTTAATACTGTGTTGCTTTCTCCTTTTGCAACTTTCCTTCTCCAGGTGTGGAAGGGAGGGTGTGTGAAAGAGTCGCTATGACCCATTAACTGAAGAACAGTTGGTTTCTTGGAGGAAGGAGACTGGGCAGTAAGGGGAAGCTGAGGTTTGTAGCTTTTTCGAACAATTTCTGATTATCTTAACTCGGTTTTTGCCAGTACTCAGGATTTCCATTGACTGTCACGGACTCCTGGACACAATTATACAGCGTGGGCAAAACTTGACACCAGCTACCTTTTTTTTTCTTCCCATTTTCCTCTCTTCATTAGACACAAAGTACCATCTAAGACCTTCTATTTTATCCAGAAAGACCTTTACTTTGAGAGGCTAAATGGTGTCATTCCGCGAATCCAAGTGGAGGTTCGACTTTGGCCCTGGACTCACACCCGCGCTCCATCTCCACACCTTGTCTGTAACCCCAGGACGGATCCGGCTTACCATGTACAAAGTAAGGCTTGGACAAGTTGATCTTTTCCTAAGAGTCATGCTTCAAAAAATTACACTTCTGTGTCTTACCTCTGATCACATCTTGAGTGCAGGTGCCCTTAACTAAGTGAAATCATGATATTCAGATAGATTCAATATAAAATGTGAAGGCCTTCTTGTTCCTGGGACTTTTAGCATATTATAAAAAGGGATCAACAATTTGAAAGTCTGCACTTGGTAACTGTGACAACTGGCTCTAAGGAGAGTCTCATGTTCCTTCCCATTTACTTCCTCTGTTACTTGGTCACATATTCTCCACTGGATATACCTCCTCTTTGTAAGAGTATATTCCCTGCACACATACATGTATGCTTGCGCGTGCACGCGCGCTTGCGCACGCGCGCGCGCGCACACACACACACACACACACACACACACACACACCCCAAAGGTCAGTAAAGTATAAAGAAAAATACAAAATGGGAATTTAATACAACGTGGTTTGTACTATTTCTTTTTGTTTTGTTTTGTTTTGTACTATTTCTAAAAACAGAAGAGATGTTGCAAAGTAATATATAAATGGTCACACACAATGATTTCCAGAAAAATAAGATGAGAGACCATGCAGTCTGTAGTGGTCTAGAAAAGCAATCTTCCTTAAAGGCAGGACATATTTTGGATAGATGAAGTAATCAGAGAGGGCATTATTTCAGGATTTGCTTTATTTTAAAAGGCTTTTTTTTATGGTGCTGGGGATCGAACTCACGGCCTAGAGCTTGCCAGGCAGGCGCTTACACTGCTGAGCTAAATCCCCTTTTAAAAGGCTTTTATTTATGGGTCTTTATGATTTTTACAGTCTTTTATACACAGTGTTTCAGGAAATCTTTTTTTTGTTTGTTTGTTTTTTTCTTTTGTATCGGTACCAGGGATCGAACTCACGACCACACACTTGCAAGGCAGGAGCTTATGCCACTGAACTAAATCCCCAGCCCCCAGGAAATATCTTTTTATAAACATCATTTTGAAAATCTCTCTCTCTCCCTCTCTCTCTCTCTCTCTCTACCTCTCTCTCTCTTTCTGTACAGGAAATAAACCCAGGGTCATCTTGCTGAGCTATATCTCCAGCCTTCTTTTACTTTTTAATTTTGAGACAATATTGGGCTCAAACGTGTGATCCTCCTGCTTCAGCCTTCTAAAGTTCTGGGATTGTGGACCACCACAAGGAGTTTGCTCCCATTTTTTTTTTAATCCACTGAGGCAAAAGGTAAGTTTTACTATTTAAAAATCAAAGGATATGGCAGTGACTCCTTAAATCACAGTAACCTACCAACAAAAATATATATTTTATTCAAGTATATAATTCAAAGAATAAATGAATTAGGGATTTGAATGGTAAGGAGAGAGGATTTAAATTAGTGTAGAAAAATGTCTTCCTGAAAGTGATGAGAGCTAAACATTTAATGAAGATAAGCAATCTTTAGTCCCTCCTAGATCACCATTAAAATGAGAGTAAGGAAGTTTTATAAAGCATAAAGTGACAATAATGAGAGTAACAGAGAGAGAGAGAGAGAGAGAGAGAGAGAGAGAGAGAGAGAGAGAGAATAGAAAAGAAATCAGTGGGAGTTAGCAAATGGACAGTGTTAAAAACTAAGATACCAGCCTGAGAAACCAGAATCCTAAACACAAGTGGAAAAACTACCACCCAGATTCTTCTATGGCAGAAAGCTGGTGCGAAGTGAATTGGTAGCAGTAGCCCCTGCCTACTGTGGAAGTGGGAGCTGCCACATGCAAGTGGTGCAGGGACCTTGAGCAGGAAGCAAAACAAGGATTTTGAGAATTGTTTAAAACCACTGAAGTCCTTAGGTTCCCTTACCTGCCTCCAAAGATTGAAATATTTATTCTTCAGAGAGGATTAAGTAGGAGCTCTCTGTATCAACGGGAAGAGCAGGTGAATTTACAAATGTTAGAATTCTAAGAATTTACTCACCAAAGAGGAAACTAGAATCATCTCCTTCGAGGAATCTGAGTTGGCCAAGGCTAAAGGCCAGAGATATTGACATCAGAATAGAGATTTAGGGGAGTAGGGAAAAGGGCAGAATCTGGTTTATTCACAGCAGTATCTGTCGCCCCTCCTAAGTCACTAGGTAGGTGTTTGTTAAATGAATAAGCATTTGTGGGAGACAACTTCAGTGACTCCCCTTGAATGCAAAACAATTGCTGCAACTTTGATTATATGGAAACTTATTTCCTTATACTGATCTGTACAGAGCTGGCTATGGTATTTCCTTCTCTCTTCAATTGGCTCTAAGCATTATAAATAAGGCTAGCAGAGGTACTGATGCGTAATCTCTAAAGCCTACAGTCTCCTGTTTCCTCACATAGTGCTCTCTGTAAAGCATATGAGCATAGGGGGATGTTAGAGCTAATAGCTCCACAAATGTCAAGTGGGCGTGAGCCTCCAAGTAAATAGGCTATGACTCCCCAGGGCACAAAAGTTTACATGTCAGAAACTAAAACAATTCAGTTGTTACCTTAATTGAATTATGCAAATTGATTCTTCTACATATCCTTATTTCTGCATTTTGCAGAGATGCTTTTCCCTACCTTCCCATTTCCCGCCATCCTCATTGTCACTCATCCCTGAGCCTCCCCCCTTCTTCACAAGGTAATAATTCTGGGAGAGGCCTAGAAACAGGGCCTTTGTCCACGCATCCTCATGGGGACTGGACTCAGGACCCCTTGGCTGCCTTAACTTGGAATATATCTTGGTGTCTTTACTTTCACTGTGGGTTGTATTGGAGATGGTAGATTGGAATTAACTTGCTGGGATTCCAATAACGTCTCAATGGGATTGTAAATATAACTTGGATTGTGAGGAAGACTACAAAAGGGATTATAATATTTAGATAACTACACACAGTATTTGGGGTTACAGTAGCATTCACAGTAGATAGTTTTTGAGTATTCTGAAAGGCATAAAGGAGAACTTAAAAGCTACTCAGATTTGTACTAGTAGATTATATTCATATATATTAATGTCATCAGAGGAAAAATATATTGGTCTTTTTTACTTTTTTTTTTTTTTTTATCGGACTCGTGACCACATACTTGCAAGGCAGGCGCTTATGCCGCTAAGCTAAATCCCCAGCCCTGGTACCGATAAAAACGAAAAAGACAAAAAAAAAAAATTCATAAATTTGGGGATAAAGGTATAGTTTAGTAGTAGCACTTGCCTAGCATGCAAGAAGCCCTGAGTTTGAGCCCAGTGACACAAAACAAATAAAAAATGTTTAAAATACCACAAATCAAAGAAAAATGCAACAAACACAATTATGTGTTTTGGAATTCTTTCAGAGTTTCTTCATTCTTCAGTCCATTGTCATCTTTTAAACTTAGACAACTGAAATTGGAATCAGAAGAAAAAGAAAAATTATGGAAAAGATAAGAAAACACATTTTTTTCTTATTTTTTCCTACAAATTAAGACAAGATCACCATTATCAAATTTACCAGAGGAACATATCTTTTTCTTGTACAGTGCAGATTTCCAAGGGAACATACCTGAGAATCCCTGAATCTAGATTGCTCTAGGCGATCTTGCTTTTATCTGTCTGTCTGTCTGTTCACTGCTGACAGTGTGGCACCATAGTGCTTCTCAAACTTTAAGGTGCACATAAATTGCATGGAGATCTTGATAAAACACATTTCTGGTTTAGAAATTCTGCAGTGGCCCTTGAGAGTTCCTGTTTATGACAAATCCCCAAGGTAGTGCTGGTACTGCTTCTCTGTGGACCACACTTTGAGAAGCAAGGATGTAAGAAAATAGTACAGGAGTCAACAAACCCTCCACTGAGGAGTTAGGTCTTGCAGTTAAAGCAACTTGTGTTGAAATCCTAGTTCTACCCTTTCCCATTTAGAGGCCCTTGGAGACATGATTATTTTCTCTGATTCTGGGTTCTTCATCTGTTAAATGGGGATAATACTTCTTTATAGGGTCATCGTGAATATTAAAAGAGTTGTCAATCTTAAATTAGGTCAAATACGTTTTATTTCTCTCTCTCTCTTTTTTTTTTTTTTTTTGTATTGGTATCAAACTCAGGGTCTTATGCATACTAAACAGGTGTTCTACTACTGAGGAATAATCCAAATCCAACATTTTTCACTGGTTTGTTTTGGTTTAGAGCAGTGTATTGACTTTCCACTGCTGTAACTAAATACCTGAAAAAAATTAAAGAAAGAAGCTCATGGGCTCTGAGATTTCTTCCCATAGTCACTGGGTTTCATTGTTTCCAGCCTGTGGTGAGGCAAAACGTCATGGTGGAGGTTGGATGGGAGATCAAAGCTGACCAACTAATGTCAACCAGGAAGGAAGAGAGAGAGGATGCAAAGACATGCTCCCAATAACCTACTTCTTCCATCTACGTTTCATCTTATGCATTTCTCTCTCCTCCCAAGCCGTAAAGCCATGAAGGGATTAAACTGCTCTTGAGATCAGAGCCCTCCTGACCCAATCACCTCCCAAAGGTTCTGCAACTGAAGCCTGCTACGTTGGGGACCAAGCCTTCAACACATTAGCTTTGAGGAGTCATCTAAGATCTCCTCCACAACAAGCACTCAGTAAACGGCAGCTGCTTTTATGACTTCTGTTACCATCCTTACAAACCTGAGTTCTGGTCCTGACTTGCGACTATATCATCTTGAGCAAGTCATTGACCCCCTGGGTTTTGGTTTTCTCTTTCATCAAATGGGAAAATGATAGTGTCCACCTCAGAAGTTATTATGAGGATTAAAATGCAGGAAAAGTATATAAAATGCTGAGCAAAGAACCTACACAGAGAAGGCACTGATAACAATGATGGTGGTGGTGGCGATGATGATGGTAACAACAATGCTAAACCTCATATCCAACCTGGTTCTGTGACTTTCGCTGAGAGAAAGAATCCTAAACTAGGCATGGTGGCACATGCCTGTAAATTCCAGTCACTCAGGAGACTGGGGCAGAAAGATTATAAATTCAAGGTCAGCTTGGGCAAGTTGGCAAGACTCTGGCTCAAAAATAGATAGATGATAGATCGACAGAGATAGATAGATAGATAGATAGATAGGGGTGGGGACAATTCAGTAGTAGTGCCTCTATGGTTCAATCTGTCATAACACGCAGAAATAATCCTATAACCATACTCAACATCACTGGGGTGTGGAGAGAACTAAATAAGCCATAGTAAATAAAGTGCATTGGAATAGAAAGCCTATAAGAATTTAGAGAAAAGCAAGGAAATCAGAGAGATTTTGAATGGAGTCCCAATCCTGGCTATGTTGCTTACTTATTTTGTGATTTTAAAAAAATGTCTATTTCTCGAAGCCTTGGTTACTTTGTCTTTATAAGAGAGCTAGTAGTAGCTATCCCACAAGGTTGTCAAGATTAAATGACAATGTATAGAGCTGTTGGCATCTTTCCTGGCACACAGATAAACTTAGGAAATATCTTCTTTTCTATGTATAGTAACTATGCACATTCAGGATTTTGTATTTTTTCCAAGGAGGATAGTATCTCCAAGAATATTTTGGCTTTGCTTATGAGCTTCTCTATGTGAAAGTTTATTAGCTTGAAGATGAAAGGTCTATAAAATTGAACTGCTGAATGCATCCTATTTAATTATACATCAAATATCCCAATGCTGAATATTTTATCAGTGGCATTGCTGGCTGTTAGCAAGCGGATCATGGGGAAGAAAAACAATCAATTAAAGGGAGTTTGGTGTAACCCCAATAAAGAGAAATTATTCTACTGCCAAGCAGAAGAATGAGGTTTTCCAGAAAATTTTTAGAAAACTGACCCAAAGCTTTCCAAAAGAAGCTCTGACAGTGTTTCACCATAATTCATTTTCCATCAGATTAGTAGACTGGAATAGCTTTTCTAATTCTAAATGTTTACATCTTTTCTCCACTATGCTACCTGACAATTCAATAGAATCCACTTTTGATGTATTTCCTTGTCTACCATTAAACTTTATAACAGGTCATATTGTTGTCTCTGGACTAATCTTGGATTGAGAAATATGAGTAGATGAAAAATTACCAATATCCTTTTCTTTGTTAACAGTATATCATGGTAGAGGCTTTTCTAGAAGATTCTGAAGGTTGAATTTTCAAACATTTAGAATTGCCATAGTCCATATCTTTGCATAGATGCCAAATACAATGCTTGACAAAAATAGCATACTCAATATGTATTGGCTGAAAGAAAATATTTAATTCCACCCCCAGCCTACCTCCTTTTCTCATAAATCTAGCTTTGCAAGAAGGTGGTGTGGTAGGAGTGCGGGTTGGAATTCCACAAGAGATGAATATACCTGGTCATGGGAACATCTTGTACCCCTGAATTGCAGGGTGAAGAATTACCTTCATCCAAGCTTCACTTGAGTCTCCAAATGTGTACGAGGAAGTTACTGGTCCCTAGCAAAGCCCTTTCACAAGTGTGTGTTGGGGAGGGCTGCTACCATTTTCCCAAAGTTGATTTTAGAGGCACTGATTAACACCCATCTCAAAACAGGGCTTAGTGATTCATTTAGGTAAGTTTCTAGATGTCTTATCTAGAGAGTATGGAAATTTCTAAGAGTGGAGGAATAAAAGGGGAAAATAAGATTACATTTAAAAACCATACAAAATTCATTTCAAAAAAATTTTAATCATCTAATATCCTACCATAAAGTCTATGGTCATTTCTTAGCATTCTTTACTGTCTATCCAAATTTTTTCCATATGGTTTATATCATCTTTAATTCTTACAGTGACTCTGGAAAGGTGGATTTTTTAAAAGTTATATATTTTTAACCCTTTTTTACAATGAGAAAATTAAGGCTCAAGTTAAATGATTTGCCTAAATTCATGTAACTAATAATACAGATTTGTCTGACCCCAAAACCTAATTCTAGCTCAACACACTTTTGCATTTTAATGTTTTCATTTTACATTATTTAAAGACCACTTTTAATGTTTCTATATAATCACTGTATTTCTTTTTAACAGCAACATAATATTCCACTATATTGTTATGACACTATTTATCCACTCTATTCTTGAGCATTTAGGCTGTTTCAGATTTTTCATTACTGTAAACAATGCTGCTATGCACATTTTTACTGTTGCTATTCATGTAGCTTTGTTTTCTTTTTTTATTTCCTATAGATAAATTCCCAGGAGGTATAAGATTACAAATATCTATTTGGTTCCAGTTAAATATTACTAAAGTGTCCTTTGAAAGAATTGTACTGTGTCACTGCAGCTTGAAAGAGAGTACTATCTTCTCACACCAGCCCCTTGTGAGATAGAAGGCAAGTCTGGGTAGATTCACTAATGAAAACAGTCCTTTGTCCCTCTTTCTGTGTGAGTATGCTCCAGGGCCTTGTAACACTCCCTGAAGAAGATTTGTAACATCGGTATTCATATTCCAGAATAAGACCTCACATGGGATGATATGATTCTCCCTTCCCAGGAGAAGCTTCCTTGCTTAAATTGTCTTTTTGAAGTCATAAGATCAGCAGAAGGTTTTTCAAGCAGCTGATATTTTCCCCTCAAATCAGTAATCCTCCATTCCTGTGCTAGAGGAAAGTCTGATGCCCGATAGAAGTGAAGCCTAGACTTTAGCTCAAGGTTTGCCATTCCAGAGTTGGTGCAAAAGCACTGGGATAAATTATATAAGGAAAAAGAAGTCCTATCAGAGCTCCCAGAACTGTCAGGAAAATATTAAAGTGAGAAACACTGTATTTCAAATGGTGGAAGACTATTTTGATATTACATAATTAATCTCTCCTCCATCTTAGTTATCATACATGGCAAGAGCACCACTGGAAGATATTGAAAGGTTCAGATCTAAATTATAATAGGAACTCAGACAATATAGATGTATGATTATTAATATGTGCAGTAACCATAGAATAGCCTACGTAACAGTGCAGTAGGCACCATCGGCAAAAGTATGTACATTGAAAGCAGGTTGAACTGGTTCGGCCATCTCTCCAAATGGATAGGTAAACTCAGGTAAGATTTCATACTCTTGAAGCTTCAGTATATCGTCTATAAACTGGAGGTTATGATTCTTACTTGTAAACTTTGTTCTACAGACTAAATGAGTGTATGCCATGTGTGTGATAGTAACTGAATTTATATATATACATAGCAATAAATGTGATCCACCAAGTAGTTCCTACACCAGTAGTTATCAAAATTCAATGTGACTGTCACCTAGGATACCTGTCTAAAGAGTAGATTTTTCAGGCTCTACCCCAGAAATTTGTTTCTATCATTTTAGATTTTTTTTTTTTTTGGTCTTTTTCCTTTTTTTTATCGGTACCGGGGATCAAACTCACAACCGCCTGCTTGCAAGGCAGGTGCTTATGCCGCTGAGCTAAATCCCCAGCCCTTGTTTCTATCATTTTGTGACAGGGCCCATGACTCTGTACATAACATATAACTAAATTCCAAGGAGATTAGGTTGCCATTGGTCCATAAACCGTACTTTGAGAAGAATTGCCTACAGCTTCAGGGAATAAATGGAGGAATTTTGTATCACTAATATGCCACAGACTCCATGGTAAAGAGATCCAAATATTGCCTCTGCTTTCAAGATGATTTATGTAGTGCTAATCAACCTTAAGAAATGAGAATTGCCCTAACGTAATATTTATCCTTTTAACTCTTGTGACATGGATAAATGTATGTCAATATCTTTTCCTTGGAGTCATACTGACTCATTAAGGCAGTATCTCTTTCCTGTGGACTGTAGGACTCACCTCCCTGCACTTAACACCCTGAATAATGACAGACACTACCATTAAAATCTTGTGCTACTTATTTCCCGTTGGATTTGGGTCTCATCTCTTCAAATGGACTTTAAGTCTAAAGGTAGAAACCAGTGTTCTACACTGTCCTATATTTACTACACCCATCTGTAAAGCCTTTGTACAAGGCATATGTTTCAGAAAGATATTTGAATGAATGTAGCTATGAACATTAAGTTGTTTATTCACCTAAGAGTGGCTCTAAATTATCATTGCAAAGTGGGTGAACTATTAGACATTCAGGCTTTGGAATCAGGCAGATCTGAGGGTAGATTTCAGCCTCCTGTAAGTACTGTAACCTCTCTGAGCCTGTTTCATCATTGTGGAGTAGAAATAACTTACGGACAGGCTAGAGGGAAACTAAGAGGATACTTGTTAGGTTGCTAGCCGAATGCCTCACACTTGCGGTTCTCCTTAACAGACGGACAGACGTCGCTGAAAGCGCTTGCTGTTGTATTTAAAAGTACTATGCAGAATAATAGACAATACCGCCTTAGATATTTATCTTCAGATGTAAGATAATAAATAACTAATTCTCTCTGCATAAAGTTGGTATTTTCTTTCTTTTTAAGGTCTAGGAATTTAAGCTTTAAGTAACAGATTGTCCAGAAGTTTGTGTGGAGTCCCTATTGAGAAGGAAAAGGACACAAAGCAGCTATTTTACCAGCTCAGGCTTCCACACAGAGTAGTACAATCAGGGTTTAAGTTAATGCTTCACAGACTGCCTCTGTTCACATGATTATCATGACTTTTCTCTCATTACTGAGAGGCATCCAGCTCCCGGAATAGGGAATATGGATCCCACCTGAATTGAGCAGCAGAGACGTCCAGCTTCTCAGATTATAAATAGGAGATTCACCAGCCTCAGTCATGATAGAGACACGGGGATCTCCTGAGTAACTCTTAGAGATTCCATGAACAGGACGTTCACAGGACTGAAGGTCGGACTCTGCTTACTTCATTGAAATATTGCTAGCTAAGTATCTAAGATTCTGTTCTGTGAAGGAAATAATATACATAATCTCTGCATAAATATAGTAATTGCAGCTTAATTTCTAAAGGCCAAAAATTGAGACAACTTTAGTACCTAAGAATAAAATGGGTAGTGGTTAAATAAACCCTGAAATGTTCATTTGATATATTAAGTGGTTAATTAAAAATGTTTGCTTGGGGCTGGGGATTTAGCTCAGCGGCATAAGCGCCTGCCTTGCAAGCAGGCAGTTGTGAGTTCGATCCCTGGTACTGATAAAAACGAAAAAGACAGAAAAAATTAAAAAATTTTAAAAAATAAAAATGTTTGCTTACATACATATAACATGACTAAGCAATAACATATGGAATCGTATAGGAAAAGTTAATAGCATGTAAAGTGCTCCTGAGTATGCTTTAAGAAAAAAAAGGATAAAATTCAGTTTAGGTTCAGAACTTTCCCCAATTCTGGAGACATGCTATGCCTTCTTAGTCCTCCCTGTTTCTTACAATAGCCAATACAAATCTTATATTTAGGTGGTGGGATTGTGACATCATCAACAGTCTAGCCAACCTCCCCTTTGATTATTTGCATAGTTTACTCCTCCAAATTCAGTTAAATTCAAATTATTTTAATGAGATCACTGTGTGTGGAACTGTTATCCTTTCATAGAAAAGGAAGAAAATTACATTCACAAAGAGATATTTGTGATGATATTGTATCAAAATATAGTGATTCAAATTATATCTAGGCCCTCAATAGGGACTCCTGAGCATTCTGCTCAGAATGTTAAATCTTGAAATAGCTCTCTGACAACTACTTATCCATCTGATGTTTAACTGTTTTTTAAAAATATTTCTTTAGAGTGGAAAACAGAATTTTCTTTGGTAATCTACAAACCTCTATTATTAGCATAAAGAGAAGACGTTTCTCAGGCCTAATTGTTTCTATACGAAGAAGAGAAAGCCCACTCTGCACTTACCTGTTGATGTTGGCATTTTATTCTCTATAACGAATCACCAGCTTTTCAAACTACTGGATATTGGCAAGGATGTTGGATTCCATAAACCTACTCTTCATCCTCCTTGTTTATACCCTTGCTGGTTTAGCAAATTAATATGGACAAGGATGCCCCTTTTATTATTTCAACATAGGTTTCTGTTCATAAAAAGTATATAGTGGGTGAATTTTGCCTTTCTCCTATAATACACAA